CCTATCCCCTGTTGTGCCTTGCTCCCACGACTTTGTCATTACTTTCAAGGGTATATTGGTCATTTATTTTATTAAAAAATTATTTTTAATATTTTTTATAGGTGCGCCCCAATGAAATAATGGCACGTACCAAATTTCATATTCATACGATTTGTATAAAAAAACTAAAAATAAAGACGTCGGATCTAAGATCAAACGATGAGTAGCTCTCTTGATCAAAATTGGATGGTTGGATGGTAGGGAAGTATAGATCTTCTATGTTGCAGGGGAAGTATAGAAACCTTTCTCATTAGTCTCTGTCCAAAGGGGACCAATCTTATTCTTTTGTGGACAAATGCGTTGAGTTTTGTAAGAACAACTCGAAGCTTCATTAATGGCAGATTTGAACGGGAAGCTTTGAACATAAAAAACCAATCTTTCTTTACTACGGGCTTATTTTAAATGGTTACCCCGTGTCCCCCATTTTGTGACAGCTTGAGTAAATGAATCTCAACCCTCCATTTAGCTCGTGCCCCATTTTATGACAGCATGAATGAATGAATCTCAGCCCTCCATTTTAAATCAATGGTTAAAAGGTGGGGGAGGATAGAACTTCTATCATAAAAAGCTTTCTCGTGAGAGAATGGAGTTGTTGGGGAATATATTGCACATACAAACTGGGCCTAAAGAGTGTTCAAAATTCTTCTCTTTGCTTAAACCTTAAACCCTAGTTCAATATACGAGACCTAGGGTTTTAAGACTTCTGTTGAAGGTTTAGAAATCTTCGTTGTAATATATAATGAGACCACTATAAAGCTCTCTGAAAATTTACGCGAAAGCCACAGCTGAAGCCTACTTACTCGATCAATGGCTCTTAGAACCAAGCATTTCAGAGAGATTTTTAGGGTTTCTTCTCGAATATACTGTTCGGGTAATCTCATATTTTCATTCCTAGTTATATTTTATACTTCATTGCAATTTTCACTGTTAATGCCTTATTCATTTCCTAATGTTATTTTTGTTTGGATATTCTCTATGAAACCTTTACTTGTTGGGTAATTTCAGTGAGATTTATTGGGTGTTTACAAAAAATTGTTTTGTCTTTTTAATTAGCATCCATGTTTTCTGAATCATTTATTCACCCTAGTTTTAGTGAACAGTTCATTTGGATATTCTCTGTAAGTGATAGTTATTTAAGTCAATGAGATTATCTAATGATATATCATGCAATGCGAAGTCATAATTTTCCAGCTAAAATGATCTTAGTTGTTTCCTTTTCGTAATACAAATTGTTGTGGGAATTGGATTTTTATCTTGATTTGGGCATGGTTTTTGAAGTGGTGATCTCATCTAAATGTTCTGATACTTCCTGAATTGTCTAAATCACATTCTTTGGTCTGGTTCAGTGGTATCACATGAAATGACCAAGGGGGAGCCTTGCACTACATTTGTGAATCCTTCTCTTATTTTGATGAATTCAAAACAGGTTGGCATGAAGAGAGGTGCACCCATTTGCAGGTATGCATATATTTTGATAATGTTCTGAAACTCAGATCCGGCCTCAGACTTACCCTAGCCTAAGCCAAGTATCCCTTAAAGGGCAATAACTTTTTTTTTTTTTCAAGAAAAAAAAAAGACTTTTGATAAAACTGAAAAAATAGTAAAAACAAAACTATACCATAAAGGACACTTAAGTATAAAAATGATGAAAAAATGTAAAAGATGGAAAAAATTTCAAAGCAGGAAATGATTCAGAAAATTCCGAAAAAGGGAATAATATAAAAATGAAGCAAATGATTAAAGAAGTTCATAAATCATCATCTCAATTTTCAAAATTATAGAGGAAAATGTTTATACATTGATTTACTAAAGAAATATATATTTTATGAATTATTTTTACTTTTTTAAAATTTACTAACTTCATACATACTACTTGGCTCTCGACATGATACCGACTCCAAATTACTCAGCCCAGTCCAAGTCCATTTGGCCGACTCCGTAAATACTGATTTTGATGTTCGAGTTTGGTTTATTTAAAATCAATTTTCTACGATTTAGAAAATGGCATTAATATTGTTTACAATATTGCTTTCTACATTGCATCTTCTTGGTTGTTGGGTTGCTTCTTTCTTTTATTATTAAGATAATAGTGGTTGGTTTGCTAACCTACATAGACAATGAGCTTGTATAACGTTGAGTAATTGATGAGATGCGGCTCTCATTTCTTTGCCCACCATTCAAATCTTAAATTTAGTCACATGTCACATCTAATAAACAATTGACTTTATGATGCCATAGTTCTTATGCTATCAAGTTTTTTCATTAGCCCACAATAGAAAAGATGTTCCCTCCACTTGAGTCAGAGTGGGCGGGCTTGTTGAAGGAAGGGTAGGGGATGGGATAAGGTGAAGCGAGAGAAAATTTTAGGGTTAATGGATAATGTTATCCATGAAGGTCTCATATGCAATCCAGCAGAGCAAATGACATCACATCGGCATCCAGAACACCCTAACGAGGCCTCTCCATGTATAATGGCCAATTCAGACCGATGGAAATGGTATACAGCAGCATGTCTGCGTATTAAATTGGCCCTGCAATGCTTGAGAAGAATCCTAAAGAACTTAACACAAATGAAAAATTGTTATATTGATTCTCCAATTGCATGAGAGCTCAAACTCCTGAAAAACCATCTTATGAGAATGTGGACCTTGCATTCAAATACCAATGATGTTTTCCAATCTTGAGTAACACAATTTCCATCATCTTCAGTTCAAAAAAAGCCACAGACGAGTAAAAATAATGAGGATAAGCTCCAAACCCTTTCTTTTTTCTAGATAACTTGAGAGGTACAATTTCCTAAAAATGCTCTCTCACACCACACTGGGGTAATAACCTCAGCCATAGTTGTTGGGATCGGGAGTGAGGGATCGTGAAATGCTAGAAGATCGCTATGGTTGGGAACACCGTCCGTACAATGCACATGTTAAGGATCAAGATTCCAACCTTTTCGGGATCTTGATCCAGACTTTTTGGGATCCTGATCCCAAATTTTTGGGGATCGTATTACCAACCTTAAAGTGTAAGATAATCTAGGATCATGTATACTCTTTACAGTAGGATCTTATTATTGATAGCAAGCAAAAAATAGTTGTGTTGCTAGTTGGCTATAAACAAAGAAAATCATCAGTTTGGTTGTTGTCGTGGTCTTTAATGTTGGGAACCAGATCCCTAACAGCAGGAATCGGGATCCCTATCAGTAGGGTTCAAGATCCCAAAATTTAAAAATTGAGATCCCTGAGCGATCCGTTCTAGCAGCGACAGAATCGACATCCTAGAAGGGATCTTCTACCAAAGTAGGAGATCCCAATAACTATGGCCTCAACTATAGTCATTCATATTTGAAAGCCACGGTTGGGGACTACTATTTTTGCAGCCTAATCAGTAACCCAAAACAATTATTAGTCATTTGCACGTATTTATGATTTTAGAAAGTTAATCTCACTTTTTGAAGAACATCAAGAATTGCGTATCTTTCTTCTGATCCACAAAAGTCAAAACCTCACGCATAGCAATTGAACCATTATCAAATGTCATGTGTGCTGCCCAATAATTACAAACCAATGTAAGGTTACTAATGCAGTAACCTAAAATGACATGTCCAATTTCAAAAGCTTATGTTCACATGTCTTGATGGAATGGGAAGGTGATTGCAAAGAGACAACGATGGCCAAATTAATGAAACCTCCAAACTAATAAAACCTCCCAAAGGGAAAAAATAATTATAAACAAAATCATTTTATATCCCAAATCATGCAATGAAAATTGAACGAAATTAAATTAGGAAACTTACTTTTCTCTTACAGTTTTCATGTCCTTTGCATAATGAGCTACTGCAGCAGGGTCATCTGGATCTATGGTGATCTTTTCCTTTCGAAGAACACCGATGGCCGTCTCAAATTTGTTCTTAACCTCGTAAAATATGTTCTTCAACATCTCTTCCATTATAGGAATATATATATATATATATATCAATATTCAGACAATAATTCCTGAAGACAATTCAATGTGAAAAAAAAAGTTGACTACCAAGGGATAAGGAGTGTTATAACATTTGTTTTGCTTTTTTACAAAAAATAAAACCATATACTTTAGTTCAAGTGGCTAAATGTACAAATCGCCCCATTGCACCAAAATTTATTCTTCTAACAACACCCAATTTCATTAAATAATCTCAAATGTATTAGATATCCTAGTAAAGAACAACCCTTTGATGTTTGTCATGAGAAAGTTCCTGCACTTAGTTGAAGTGCAACAGTTTATGACTCCAATGGAGTTTATGAAATTATGGTCATGAACCCTACCACCACCAACAATTAGGGAAACAATCCAGGCAATGGGATCCACATGAATAGTTAACATTTCTATAAAAAAACTAGGATCCACATGAATAAGACAGTGATTTCAGAAGAGAGAAATCAATTATATGCATGAGAGGTAAAAATGAGAAAAGGTTAGAAGTTCAGACCAGGTTTACGATATCATGGCTGTTAGACCCCTCCAATAAACATTAAAGTGAACAACAGGACAGGGATAAGACTACAGTTTCAAGCATGCAGCATAAAAAGAATATTTCTAGGCAGTTTTGCACCTAAGCGAAGAGATGCAATGCTCTCTAGTAATATTCCCAAGATTCAAATCTTAAATGACGTGAAACATCTTGCTATGGACTCCAAGACGACTTTTGACATGATTGATCATGCACAAAGCTTACAAAGGAGTCTCCCAAGAGCTAAGATGAATTAAATCTGTGTGGGACTATTTTCATAACTTACTGTTATAAAGATTCTACGACATGATATAAAATGAATACAGAAGGGTCCCAGATCTAGAAGACACATAGGTCCATATATAATAGTAACTAACAGATATAACACATACAGAAGGCATATTTATGAAGCAGGCCTCATAAGATAGAAGGTCTCAAGCCTTTGCAAAAAACAAATTTTAACAATAATTTCTATTTACATTACCAGATTATTATAACATCACAGAATGTTCTTAGTCTTCATTTTTGCTTAATAATTCTCACTCCTAAAAATTTAATGAATCCATATTCTAAGTATTGAGGATATCTTGACTCACCGTCACCCTTGAGGACTGGGCGAGGAGGAGCTTCGTTTGAAAAATAACGAACAGGAACAGCAGGCTCCATTTGAAATAATTTCTGACCTGCACATAACTGGAAAAGCGAAAATAATATCAATTCAGTTGTAGTCAACAACTGACACTTACGATGAAAATCATGAAGAACATAAGAAATCAGAAAGGAAGATGACTTCTCTTAGGTAATGAACATCGATTTCGTTTATCTAGAATCAATCCAACTCAGAAGGGATAAAGTTAGCATCAAGTGTAACAGCGTAGATTTTATTTAGTAGGCAGGTAAACAGTTATACCATCCATTATCATTTCCAAAAAATATTATAATTTAAAATATTCAAATGCAAAACCTCCAACTTTGAATACAATGAAATAAAAAGCAACATTTTGACATCAAAAAATAACAGGTCATGAAGATCCTTAAGAATAACTGAAGTCCGCATACCTCGAAATTCAATTTTATTTTTATTTTTACAATGATAAAACGGATGAATAATTTTCCCATTTTAAAAAGAAGAAAGACCGCCATGCCTGAATCATTGATAAGAATTTGATCATTCCAAAGTTAAGATTGCATCAGAAATGCAGTAAAAGCAATAGACCCTAAATGCAGCTAAAACAAATAATATCAGTGATAAAAACATATCCAATGCATACGATCCTGATAAAATAGCACAAAACCCTAGAAACAACTGATCATTCAAAACCTCCCGTTGCATAAGAAATGCTCACGAATCCGTCGACCAATCAAGAAACAGACCAAAAACCAACTCAAATACACAATTTTTTTGCAAAATGAAACTTCTCCGAAGATAATCAATCCTTTTAAAAGCAGTCAAAAGGGGACGCGAGAAAGGACCTTCACTAATCTTGCAGCGCAACCCTAACCCTAAATTCAAGACCTTGTCTAAGTACCTTTCTGGAATGGCACAGGAAACGCGAAGCGTACGCCATGGCCCGATCTCCTTCGACCTTCTTCTCTTTCCTCTTCTCAGTTGATTCTCTCTCCTCAGTCTGCCCCCTATTACCAGGAGAGAGTAATGGAAGGGCACCATTTGTATGGCATAATGACTGAAAACGCCTTACTTCTTTCTAATTTGACAAAGAAGTCCTCCATGCGGAATTTTCCAATGAACCGGGTATATTGGAATCAAGTGAGCTCAGAGAATCTCCACCGTTATTTCATGGGTGGGAATGATCTGGACGGCCAAATGGTGAATCATGTGAACTAAGAGAATCTCCACCGTTATTTCATGGGTGGGAATGATCTGGACGGCCAAATGGTGCATAAGCCTCCGTTTTTCTGGTGAGTTAAAATAAAGAAGGAAAATGTTATGATAGGGGTGCAGCCCTATCAAAATAACTAACGCCTCATCTCAAATTCAAAATATAGTTCTCCCATGGAAACACGTTCAAATCGATTATCTCGGCTGAAAAAAATTGGGATTTCATTATAACACACCCTCTAGAGCACCTATTTTGCACAAAAAAGTTCAAATCGATTATCTCGGCTGAAAAAAATTGGGATTTCATTATAACACACCCTCTAGAGCTCCTATTTTGCACAAAAAATAAGTGCTCACATATCGCAAGATCTAAACTATTTTTTTAACTTCAATTTTTTCAATTAGTGATGGAAATAGATTTTAGAGTCAGCATGAAGGTTTCCAATGCTTAAAATACTTCGGACGAGGATTTCAAGAGAAGCTTTAGTTTGTTTTCATAAAGCACGAGGCTTATAAAAATTGCATCTAGTAAAGAATCCAACCTTACATAAAAGGAAAAGTATACAAAGAGACTATTTTTATTATTGATATAAGGAAACCACAATCATTCATGTTCCTTATATTTTAGATTAGGTGGTTACAATAGTGTAATTGATTAGACTCAAAGTTAAAAAAAAAAAAGAGAAATCTTGAACTTCATGACTCACCTCAACCATCCAATTTGTCATCTAATGGCCATGAGTAATTATAATGCAAAAAGTAACAATATGTAACAATATAATCAGGCACTCTTCCCCGTGTACTAGGATCCACACGTTCGTCCAAATAAAAGGGTAAACATCTTACCTGCAGAGTTGAGAAGTAAGGTTTTAAGAGGATGACAAACATAAGGTTCCTTGATGAACTCAGCAAGCTTTCCTCCTATGCCTTTGGAGTTTACGTCTGTGGATTCCCCAATAGATGATGTCTGAAGTTCATCAATCACTGCACCGATAAAGAAAACAATCAATCAAAACAAATGTACGACACTAAAACCCAACTTAATGCTACCTAATAAATTTCTTATAGGTCATATTCATTTCAATATTGACTATTAACCTGAACTCCTTAAAATTTTTTTCAGGTAAGTTTGCTAAGTGAAAGCAGATATGACCGCCTTATATATCTTGCAAATCATCACCATTCCTTCTTTATATATGCACAAGTTAAATTCTAGAATCCATGGATCATCCATGTTAATTTCAACTGACTAAGCATTTCGAACAGAAATGACTCTGTATTATTTCTGAATCGCAGCAATAAATTTTGATATAAAACGAACCCTCTTGCCTTGACATGCATCCATATTGCTCGAAGATTCATATGCAACTACTGGAACCATGATATCCAACAACCAAATAACACACAAGCATAAAAGAAAACTCAGTAGGGCAGCATGTATCCACTTACACACTCATAAGCACTTGAATCCACATGTTCACAATCAAACATGCATTATCAATCCCATTATTGAAAATATGGAGACAAACAGCACACAAGGGGATATAGGTTCAAGCAACCATGTAAATACCAAAAAATATGAGACTCTGCTAAATATTTAAGTTAAAAATATCATATGCTTCTCATGCTGATCAAATATGCAAAATACGCAACTTAAATACCACACCCTTAGATTCCTTTAAAACAAGGTCCACATAGAGCATTACAAATCTATCATGCATCAATTTAAATTGTAGTTTTAGTAGATAGCCTACCTCTCATTATCGCCAAACTGCTAAGGGCTTGTTTCTTTGGTAAATATTATTAATAATTTGATGGCATTCCATGAAACAAAAAAACAGGTTATTACAAAAAGAAACTGGTTAAATGCACTCATGATTTGAACTTCATTTATAGATTTATTGCTATAATCATGACAATAAAGTCCTGAGCCACAATAAGAGCAATACACATCCTGCCTGGTACAGAATACAAATTACATTTAAACTCTTTGGTTAATGTATCATTTGGAGTCAAAGGGTGAAAAAAGAGCTCTACTAGAGAACTAATTTGGGAGAGAAAAGAAAGATGGGGGAGAAAGGATTGCATATCAGCACATAAATCAATCCTGCAATGCCTTGCAAAACAAGCTTTGCCTTTAACATCAATGATGAATCATATTTCTAAGCTACAGTCATCCTGACAACTACAAAAAGCCTAAGAGATTCTGGTCGACATATATCAAGTCGACCATTCTAAAAATAATATTTGCAATCTGTAAGAAACTGAGATCCAATTACATATCCAAGTATACTGTCAAGGTTACTCCCACTATTTACAGAAATGCATGAGGAAAAAATGGAACAGTGGAAATCATTTAAAATGTCATTTTTTGTGATTGTTCCAATTTCCACATCCTTTTGATAGAAAATCTGGCCTCTAAAACCTTTGAATATCATGCATGATGGCGCGTTTTCCCTCTGAAATGAACCCCAACCAATCATTGTATTGCAAATCACTCCTATTTATTAAAAAATAAACTCCACATCTTCCTTTAAAGTTTTTTGAAAACATTCCAACACCATGAGAATCACAATCAAAGAAAGCAAAAATATTCTCCACTACATCACTCTGATGAACAATGCTCATGGAAAACAAATAAAATGAACTTATTTACAGATCTTATTAGGCATGCAGTATGCAATTGATTGTCACCAAGGGAGACCTTCACATACAACATACTGATTTTTATATAAGACAGACAACATGCCCATGGACTTTAGGCAATGTGCATTCAGCTGATCTTCAAGATAGTAATAAAGGGCTTGAAAAGGCAGAATAAATGTTATTTTGAAAGACAATTGTCATTGACACTCTATAAACATATTGTACAATATCTTAAACAAGATAGTAATGTGCATTCAGCTGATCCTCAAGATAGTAATAAAGGGCTTGAAAAGGCAGAATAAATGTTATTTTGAAAGACAATTGTCATTGACACTCTATAAACATATTGTACAATATCTTACCAAAAACTTCTTCCTTTTTGTTTTAATTTTATAATCACCTTAATAAAATCTTTAGTTGACAGCAACACAGGAAATGTGATATATTCCTTCAAGAGAATGCTACTTATCCGAGCTTTATCGTCGATAGAACAAATTGAACTTCCAAATTCAAACCTCAGGGAATCTGCCAGAAGAAATACTTAAATTCAGTTGGAGTCTTATATGAAGTATACTGATGAGGCAGAAACACCATTAAACTTATAAAAACAATGGCAAAATATCCATGTCAAAGGCATGCAGTTGAAAACTACTACCTCTGTTGAAGCAATTTTACTCTTTCTATGATGCTAATATTTTCACAGCGCAGTACAAAAGAACTCTCCTGGAAGGTACCCATAACAACCAAGAAAATCCCATCTTTACTGAAGAACTCCTCGCGCTCCTCCATTCTGTTCAACCAACAATGATAAGGGCCTGTAATTCCATTTCGGGAAAAACCTATTAAAAGATTTTCACCTTAAGATGAAAGAAACCAGTCAAAGTGATGAATCAACAGCTGTTGAAAACGCGCATCCTTCATTCCAGTTTGTTCTTTAAGCCTCTAACGGTGCATTTAATTGCATCCCTTATTGTTTATCAAATTTCTTACGACAGGCATGCTAGACTATTATTCTATTTAAAATCGCTAGTATTCCCATACAGTTTAAGGCAGTCCATGGCAGTTCTTAGCAAGTCTAACTCACAATGTCACTTTAATCTACTAAAAGAAATACTAAATATGGTAAACATTCGTAAATTTGTACTCAAAACTCCTCATGTAACTGTTCTGTAATCACCAATAATGTGATTATTTCTAGACCAAATCCATAGATTTTGCTTAGAACTTGAATAGTGCATCTATGGACACAAAAGTACTTTAAGGAGTCTATTCTGAACTTTCATAGTTTGAATTTGCCGTTATGAGGCCATTTTCTGAATATTTTTCTCGGAAAATTATGTCAGTTGAACTTTAGGGAAAAACTAAATCTTAGTCTCTTGTCAAATTGCTTTACAATTTTGATTTTAACTCAAGGAGATTGTAAGTTGTGCCAGCACCATACATCTAAGTCTCCTAGATCTTGTCACCACGCTTTAACACTTACGAGAAAATCTTCATTCGTCTGAAGAATATTTGGTAACGACTTAACCCTTGTACCCATTTTGGATACCAATGCGCATTTTGGTTACACAGCTGTCTTTGTACAAACAAAACCTGGCATTTTGCTCGTGGGATGAAAACTGGTATTTCCAGTCTTCATTTCACTCACAAAATGGTGGCAAGTGCACTGCACCTTCTTGAGATTCCAAAATGTCACCCAGAAAAATCACTTGAACCACATCTGCGCCATCACCAAAAATGCTGCCGTAACACTGCCCGGGCATGTTATGGGACGGACTACAAACTAATCCTCAATACATTGTGTGAACCAGCGTTTTAAAAATCGCCGAGCCCGGTTCGACTCGAAATTCACGAAAATGGACCGGATCGGTTTAAAAATCGGGAATCGTCCGGTTCTAGAGAGAACCGGACGATTCCGCACAGTGACTCGCCGATTCACTGTGCGGAATCGGCGAGTCCGTGAAGAACACGGGTTGCACAGTGTTCTTCATGGATTCTTTCAAATTTATCATTTTTTGATCATTTTTTTCGTTTTTTTTGGCATGTGATCTGATTTGCAGGCTGTAAACAGCTTTATTCAGCTTTTTCAAGGATTAAATGGTGGAAAAATTGGTTGTTTTTTTATCACGAAAAATTCGGGGTTTAGGGTTTCCGCCTTTTCTGAAATTTCATGCCAAATAGGGTATGAATCTTTCAAAATTTGTAGGCATTTTGATCTTAAAGCTGTGAATCAAAACCTTTTGTTACTAATTTGTGATAATCGTTGAGAAAAACAGAGTTTTTTGGAGATTGACGGCTTCGGTTCACAAAAACAGGTAAGAACTTTGGGTTTTTTTTTTTTCCGCCATTTGATTTATTTCACGGCATATTTTGAACAAAATGAGTTTAATAATTAGGGTTTTTAATCTTTATTGTGTCTAGTATGATTTAAAATTTTCAATTTTACGTAATCTGGTCAATTACAT